CTGCTCAAGCTGTTCATTACACCAGCCTTTTTTTTAAACATTTGGTTTGACACTATGTGAGTGGACTGCATGTGATTGAAGTATCATTTAATCACAGGCACTTCATAACCTATGCCAGCACATTTTAATGAGCCCCTTCCTCGCCCTGTGGGGCCCTGGTGTTTGTTGCTGCCCTTTGGCATAAAGTTTCAGATGAGCACATCTCGTGGCAGCTAGTGGAAATTTCCACTTCTCATTCAGATGTTTAACTATTATTCAGTAGACTGCTGACAAGAACTACTGTACGAAGCCAAAGCGAAACGGGTGTTTACAGGAAGCATTGTGGTATTTGTTAAAATAACCACATGGATCTGAAAAGTAAGTAAGTGTTTTTTTTTTTTTTTTTTTTTTTTTAGGCTTGGCATTTTTACTGCTTTTTTGATTGAAAACAGTGGCTATCTGACTCATCAGCTGTTTGAAATGACAATTTGAGGCATATAGGCTTAGGAGGTCATTGTTTGCTCTTGTAATATGTGTGCAAATGGCTCAGTCACAATAAAGGATAACGTCTGGGCGGAGAGGTGGGTGGCTGTGGGGTTTTATTGCACTTGATAAAACCTTGTAGTCTGCTAAGCATGACAAATAAGTTATGCAAGGCTGAGTTTACTTACTAAGGAGGATAGGGAGACAAATTGTTTTGTCTAAAACAGCAAAGGAAATCCAGCTTTGTGATGCAGGATGTTCAGTTCTGTGTAATAAAGTATTTGCTCCTTCTGTAAGCTTTTATTTTTCATAATTGCATGGTTCAGATCTTCAGATTGTATTCCCAAACATAACCTGGGCAAATACAGAAAGCACTTTTCTAAACCTAATACCCGGCTATGCTACTATTTTCAGCAGTAAACATACCATAATTAATGACCAGTAATCAGGCATCAGTTTTTACATTGCTGTTGAGGAAATTTGCCTCACTCTGCTTTGTGGATTTGTTTTATTTCAGCCACATTGAAAGGTTTTGTTTAAAGTCATGCCACAAAAAGTCTGAACTTTGACTAGGCCAGCCCAAACCATGCCTTTTGTTTTGTTTGAATCTAATTATTTGAGCTGCTGGTTCACATTAGGTCATTGAGTGTAAGGCCTCTTAAGGCCAGACTCTAGTACAGAATTCAAAAAGAGAGGTCCTAAAGTTACTAACCAGTCCCAAGCCATCTCTCTAAGCACACCATGTTTACTTGCAGGCGACGTTCTATTGTTAGTTTTATACCAGATGTGAAAGAAAGCCAATTTTCCAAGAAATTTAACTTTTGTTTCACCAGTCAACTTAAGTTTTCCCTAAAGATCTTGGGAAACGTCAAGATGTTTTGTGTCAGCTAAGGTTTTGACATTGGAACTCTTCCATGGATAACACATCTCTGTCCAGTCTCTTTCTTTTTGTTGAAACATCAACTCTGACATTAACTGAGACAAGTGAGGTCTCTAGTGCTTTGTACCTTGTTGTTCATTGTTTGTGTGTGACCTGGAGGATTGATGAATCTGCTCTTTGGATAATTATTGTCAGCCAATCCCGGAAGGTTCCTTAAAGTCCCACGTTTTCTCCACAGTTACAGATCTGACTGAAACTAGATCAGTTTAAGACTTTCAATTGACCTAAATTCTATGTAGTAAAGACACGTCAACAGTCCTCATTTTTGTATTTACAGTAATGTTAAACCGTCTATTGGGTACATCAAGCTCAAGACAGTTGTGTTAAGCAACATTTGTAAGATTAGCTGCTTTATTAAATAACTTTATTTTTACCCTGTCACACTTTTTCTAGTTATTTGGAGTGGACCAAGTATTTTGGCAAATAATAGTTGTTATTGGTCCAAACTGGCGTCCTGTCAAATTAAACTGATGATTTATGGTGATGACTGGAAAACTACAAAAAATATTTGTTTTGACCAACAGCACTGGTCAAAATTAAACTGTTGTATTGAGCAAATATGCCGTGATGACTCATCTGGTAACTAGAAAGTTCCCTCATGAAATGTTGACCTCTGGCCCACTGTGTAGTATTGATTGGCCAGAGGTTTTTGTTTGCGTGGAGCGGATGTTTTTTTCCCCAACCTGTTTATGTTTTGGAGAACAATTTCTAATAATGGTGTAGATTGAGATGAGTAGGACTCAGAGGCATTGTATTAGCTGTTTTGAAATCCCGAGAGGAAGTTCCCACATAATCAAGAACAGTGTTATGGTAATAAAAAATACCAAACTGGCCTGGTAAAACCCCTATTTACACAGAAAATTGGAATCTGCAAAGAACAGATAAGGTTAATTAAAAAAAAAATAATCAAGAGCTTAAAACTAGTATAGACAGAAGGCAGCAAATAAAAATCGAAACATAAGGAGGAAAAAAGTCAGATATGTAAAATAAAAGTTTGGGGCCATATTGTCAAGTATTATGCTGCATTCACTTTGTTTTATTTTATTAATTATCATCCCATTTTTTGGTTGTTTTTCCCCTTCCAGTTACTTTCTGTAGAGACTACTTCAATAAATTAATGAAATAACTTTAATTTTCAATAATACTCTAACTCCATGATCAAGTGAAGCATATTACATAGATTAGACATAGATGGATAGATTTATGGAGAATGATAGTGGTGTAATAATTAGTCTTCTTTACTATAGCAACATTAAAAAGAGTAGTAACTAAATGGTTTAAAACAACTGTGATCTATCTTTTTTTCTTTTTAAAGTAAACACATTTATTTTTACTCTTGTGGGAAACCACCTCCCCCTCCAAAAAAAACCCCAAAACTTCTCAATAAATTGGCATTTGAAGGCATTTTAACAGTATAATTTAAAATGTAAAAGTTAGACAATATGATATTTCATAAACCAAGGAGCATTGTGTCTGCCCTTTCTCATTTCTCATGAATGTGATGTGCTGTGCACATTCTTGTTGCTCATTACGTAATGGGGTGAGGCCATATGAAAACAATTGAGTGAGAGAGAAGAGACGATTGGTAAGAGAGTTGGAATCAAAGATGAAATCATTTCTACCGTTTAGCAGCCATGAGATGCTGTTAGTTATCATATCATACCACGTTTACCTACTCTTATGGGATTAATCCCTTGGGCTGTTTGGAATTGCGCCACCGGGAGAGCTGAGAGGGAAACAAACCATTTTGTAGAATCCATTAGAGTTGGGACATATTAGATATTCTTAATTGGATACTTGCATTGTTTTACATCAGAATTACAATATTTGTGAAAAACAATGTGGTTACTTACCAAGTAAAATATGTATTCAGCTATTAAAGATCCAGCGCACCAGAGAAACCTCATCGGGCTTTGTTTTATAAAATTGCAAGCCTGTCAACCATTGTTCAGAAAATACTGTCCCTAAACAAAGAAGTTATGCCTCACTTGTTTGGATAATGGTGGAAGTTATTCACCATAACTTTGTGAAACCACTGAGTCATCACTGACCTGCATGGAAAACTCAGCCATTTGCTTGTCTTTTTTTTTTTTTTTTTTCCTCGAATTTCTTACCGGTCTGAGTGTAATGTTGTTCATATACACTCATTGGCAGTGTTTCACTCTAGATACATTTCTGGTTTGTGTGGGATGTTAACTGCGAGTGGGTTTGGATTTCTGGATCACAGGGTACTCCCAAGATCCTGTCGATCAGCGATTCTTGACACCAAAGGAGTTGTTGGCAGATTCAGCGTCGTGGCACCTAGTTGAAAACTGAGTCACAAAATCTAATTTCCATGAGTAATGACATTTTTACAATGATGTTCTCTAAAGACCTAAATGCCTAGAATTATCATGCTCATAGTGTCATGTCACCACCAAACTTTTGCCAAAAACTAGGACTATGTTAATGTTCAAGTATGTTTGTATATTGGGTAAAATGCTGACGGTGGTAATTATTTAAACAGCAATACCAGAAGAAAATTACAACCATAACAGAAAAAAAGTGAATCATAGCTTTTTAAATTCAGCAGACAAAAATGAAAAGTTGGGTTTATTTATTGGGGCTGGACAAAATTGTACTCTTTAAGCTTGTCAATCTGTCAAGAATAACGTTTTCTTCTTGGTTATTTATTTGAACCATATTTTCACAACCACAAATGGTTACTGGGACTTTTATGTGACAAAATTACTCAAAGTAACACATACATTGCGGAGCAGAAGGGAAAATATGGTTTTTCAAAATGTTTCATGAATAAAACACAGTTTGATGGGGATTAACAGTCAGCAAGTCTTACATCAGTTTTGTACATCTAGAGACAGAAAATTTAGCCTATTCCAAGTGTGCAGTATCACTCAAGCTCAGAGGATAGGAAGTAATAATGTTAACATTTTGCTACAGATTCTCAATTGGGTATAGGTCTGGACTTTGACTGGGCCATTTGAAATACATGTAAATTGAAGCTTTCTATTGTTGCTCTAATTGTATTCTTAGTAATTGCTCACCTCTGCACCATTTTTAAATGTGTTCTTTCAGTGTTGCTCCATATATTTTAAAATTTGCTTCTGCTGATGAGCATTCCCACGGCATGATGCTGCCACCACCATTTTCAATTGTGCAGTGTCCTGTGGATTGTTAGTTTTCTGTCACACATAGCACTTTGCACCTAGACCAAAAAGTTAAAATGTTTGCTTTGCCCCCCTATGACGTATAGCTACTTTGTATTTGTCTTCTCCATACAATCTTAGTTTAATACAATGAAGTTTGTGGTTGTATGGTAAAATGAAGAGACATGGACACTTCTGCAATTCATCTGTAGATTTGTCAGTATGTTTGACTCTGATTTTTCCAGAGGTGGCTGTTTCTGACTGTTGATAAGCAAGGGGAGGTTGCTGTGTCTTTCATCAGACAGAGACACCAAAAAGGAGTCACAGTGGAGAGGGGCATGGGTTCAACGTGGGCTGATCTGAAAGGGAGACAGAAATACTGTGGTCCAAAAATCTTACCAGCAGCAAACTCACAAGTTTCTTTCTCAACAACACATTATGTCACTTTACAGAGGCCTGTGCTGCAAGTCTGTGCAGACTTTTCTGTTCTTCAGCATGAAGGCACCACTTGGGTATGTGTACGTCAAAAGAAATGGCACATGCATGAATCTGTGGTCTGCATGAATTTACATGTTTTATCAAGTCATTTTAATGATTAGTAGTATGATGATTTATTAAAAGAATGGTGAAATGTCAAACTGTTTTGTCTGCAAAATGACAAACAGTGGTGTTTGTCATTTTGCTGTAGCTCAGTGACGTGTTTGTGTTCAGATAAGGGAAGAAATATCTTACACAGTTAGACCTTCAACTTTAGATTAAAGAGCTGGAAATATGGGGACAATGATGTCTTTGACACGTTCATGGGGTCAGCATATTGGTGAATTATGTGGAGTTACATTAGAGGTTACTTTAAATGTAAATCTGCCAGGGGTTTGAATAATTTTGGCCTCAGCTGTAATTTTACAGTAGTGTTGGATATATAAATATATAGACATAAGATTTTTTTTTTCTTGTTTTGATTCATTGATTCTGATTCAACCATCAGAGTACTTGTTTAACTCTGCATGTGAATTTGTCCCATTTGTAAGTGAGGGAAAAGTGTAGTAGCCTCGTTTAGACAAGCGGACCAGCAGTGTGCACTAACAGGTCGGTCCGTATGCAGAATGAAAAGCTGGTCAATTCAAACTTTTTTTGGAATCTCATTAGAGCAACTTTAAGCCGTTGGGTTGGTAAGCTATAACTTTGTCCAAAGGGACTCTCTTTATCCACAACTTGCTTGGGAATCAGTGCTGTAGATGGTATAAAGATGGTCTAAAATCTCAAGTATTTAATTTCCTCGTGGGAGCGATTGGGTGATGTTTTTGTAGCAGCTCTGTTGGATCCATTTAATAAGTGTAATGTAGCAGCCTCATCAGTCAGCCAACTTGTTTGGCCTGTCAACGATTTATGTAAAGAGCTGAGTGAAATCCCCTGCCAGCTGCTAAAACTTCTAGGCATGATGATATCTTTAAAGACTGTGGAGCGTTGTTGACTTTCACTTCTTATGCAACTCCACACAACCCGACCGGCCTTTGTGTCCTCGTTAAACTTCCTGTCCTGCATACTTGTTTGCTGGAGTCATCCATGAAACTTAGCCCAGCTGCTAATTTTTGGTCACAGTAAGATGCTTAGACATTGATCTGAAAGAGAACCATCAGATACATAAGGTAGATGTGGGAACACTTCCTTTGCATCAAGCTTTACACAGGCATATCTTACGGGAGTTGAGAAGGAGGGGGTTCCTTATGCAAGGACTGAGTGTAGCTGTAGTTCAGGGGCTGAGGTTATCCTGACGTTGTATAACCGAGTGCCCGTTTGTGTGGGGGCGAGTTTATGGTTATCCAGGGGATTGTTAATGGTCCTTAAAGTTTCCACAGGGGGAGTGTCGGGGAACGAAGCTGTTTGGGGTGGGTTGAGGCCTGAGACGGTGTCCCTAAAGGAGCAGACAGCTATTCCTGTCGTCCCCTCCGCCTACTGCTCCTCCTCCTCTTCCACGGTCCCTCTTTAAGTGTAGGTGTGGACATGTCTGGTCATGTTCCCTTTGAGTGGGAGAACTTGACCAATAGGCTGTTATTGGTATGGCATTACTTTTACGAATTAGTTTATAGGGCTTTAATGATGGGATTTGTTTAAACAAACGATATATGCAGAATCAGCATCTTGCAAAAGTAATCCACTTTCCCTTTGAACTTTTTCACATTTCTGATCCGTTGCAACCACCAACTTCATAGAGCATGTGACAGACAGAGCAAAACAGATGTATTTATTCTTAATTTATAAATTGTTAGGTCTTAGTGATTGAAATTTAGGTTTTTAGGTGGAAAAAGCTTTTGAAAGCAATGTTCTATCTCTGTTCTCTTTTGGTCAACAGATCAAAAGAAATACTTTGATCTTTGTGGTTGTAACAGGATGAAATATGAAAAAGTTCAAGGGGTGTTAATACTGTGGCAAGGCACTGTATCCGTCTGTTTTAAAATAGAGGGGTTGTATATAGCCCCATTAAATTGCATTAGCCATAGATGAGGCTAAATGTTATGCATGCCATATTGCCTTTGTGCTATTTGTTGTTCATTAAGAGATTCATCTGCTATTTGCTTTCAGTTTAGATGATGTATTTTTTAGGTTTAACCGGTTTATGCAAATCTTCAGCATTTTGTTTTTGCACAAATGAGCATCCGGTTTTAAGTGAGGACGAAATTTAAAAGGTGCATTTATAGGGTTGAACATTACATTTAGGGGATGCACAATATGTTGGCACTAACATTGGTATGTACGGTGATATTAGGAATTTCCTTTTGTTTCTGGAGGGGGAGGGAAGACAGTTGGCCATGTGGCATTTGTTTGGTCATGTGACAGTAACAGTGATGCAGCTCAGGACTGTGGGAAGTTTAACTGAAACAGAGAAGCCATTGAAGTCAGCAGGGTGGTCATTTTTATCGAGGTGTTGAAAATGTAGTGAAATGTATGACATCTGTACACATTTGTTATCGACTATCACAGAGATATTAATATTAGAAATAAATACTGGCCCAAATTTTTATGTCTGTGCATTCCTAGTTGCATTAGTTTAGTTATGTCTTTTGTCTCTACTGGTATAAATCCTGAGTCTCTTCACCAATTAATATCATGTGCCCTGTTAAAATTCATTATGCATCGCTGTAATTGGATGTTGTCAATACCTACACTTGGCTAAATTATTTTCAAAATTTAAGCTGTTTTAATTTGTAATGTGTTTAATTATATATTTGAAGACACTGCAATGTTAAAATCAGGATAAGTTATTTTCCTGAAGGACCACATGAATATAGTATTGGTGAGGGCCAGATCATTAACTGAACTGGTTTTTAGCAGGTTTGTACCAGGTCCCATGGCAACTGAGCAATAAATGAATTACAACTGCATTATTTCAATTTCCTCTTAGTGACTCTTTTGGAAAAATGCAGTTGTCAGAGAAACCATGTTTGTGCAGATTACTGGATGTTTGTTCAGTCTATAAAGCCAGTTTAAACAGTAATTCCTAGGAACAGATGTCAGAGTCACTTTACCTTCGATTTCAGCAAGTAGGAGTTAGGCCGCACAATATTGGGCAGTCGGGCTGAAATATTGATCCTGTCAACACTTAAAAATTACAGAAGCACACTTGTGCTTGCATGTAGGATTAACACTTTTGGCATTTTTGACTTGAGATTTTTTATTGACCTACGAGGGCCACCAACTTCTACGAAAAAGGCTTAATGTGGCCCCCCAGGCTGTAAAATTCGTAGGTCTGCTCTAAATACTGTTGATTTTCCATGAGTATCTTTTTAGTCTGTTTACTGATTTTAACATTTAAAATACCTGAGCTGTACTTTCATAATACAAAATATTCAAAATAAAAATGCTTAGATTTACTTTGTACTATCTTATGTCAACACATATTATGTGTCTCTCAGTGCAGACAGAATGTGCAACTACTTACATTTTGCATGTCATATGTCTCTCTCCATCTAGAATATCCATGAGCTCCGATTTCCCACACTACGGTTTCAAGATGCCAAATATAGGGTTCCAGAACCTTCCTCTTAATATCTACATTGTGGTCTTTGGGACAGCCATCTTTGTCTTCATCCTCAGCCTCCTCTTCTGCTGCTACCTGATCAGGTAAGAGCTGCGCACATTTTAGTTTTGGATGAGAGATTCCTGGCTTTTTCATGGGTCCGTGGCAAAAACTGTCATTCAGGAATTTCTTTAGCGTTGAGTGTAGAAGATCTAAGGTCAACATCTGCATCCGCTTTGGAGGAAAAGCTAGCTAGTTTTAGTAGGTCTGGATGAATTTGATCATGTTTTGTTCAAAATCTAAAATACTTACTCTGGTCAAAACCTAAACTGGATAATGCAACACTGAATAGAACCTTTGAAACAGATCTATTTATGTTTAATTTATTTTATTTATGAATTTTTATTTGTGAAGATTTTTTGTTTTTGCTTCAGAAATACCTTAGAAAACACACAACTTATAGAAATAAGTCAAAACTGGGTTGATATTCTGCACTGATTACAAATCCTTTAAAACATTTTTTATTTGTAGACCCCTTAATATGTTTGCAATAAAATGGAAGTTTTTAGTTCTTCCAAAAAAAAATTACTACATTTTTGCCAACCCAATGTCATATAAAGTCTCATTTCATTAGCTGACTGTATTGTTACACCCACAATATATATTGAATTTTTATTCATACTATACCAAATGTCTGTTCTGTTGAGCGACTTGGGATCCTGAAGAATGTCAAAACAGAAGGCGTTGATAGCAACTGTTAAATCAAATAGTAGAGAATCTGTCTGTGTCTGCATCATTGACTAACTGTATATGAATGCCATTAGAGTGTATAGAATATGATATAAACTTGTTTACAACCACCATACTGTGTGGCATTGCCATTGCTGTTGTTTATTTCTTCCTTTTTAAAGTGTTGTGATGATTTTTGTGTCTAAAAACGTTTTCAAAAACAGAATATTTCAACAGCACAGTTTGGAGAAGACACTTTCCTTTAATAAAATTATCTAAATTATGTAAGAGTTACATTTAAGTTGCTTTCTATAATCATGGCACTTGAAGTCTCTTATCCTCTTCATTGCTCCCATTATATTCTTTTGTGTCTCAGTCGTACCACTATTACTTCTGCATTTGTTAGATTTTAAAAGTGCCAATTTTAGTACTTTATTTTAACCATCTGAAATCCAGCAAGATTTACGAGTAATCTGCTAAATATCCATAATCCAAAAACAATCTTTACTTCAGTAGTCAATTCCTCAACCCTCTTTATAAACTACTGGGTATAATCAGATTATCCTCAGTGCTGGTAATGCAGGGTGTTTGTTTTCAGCCAGTAGCAAACTGAACACACATAATGCACTACATTGTTTTATCTGAGACAGTGAGAAGCAGCTGTTTCTCCTAAAACTCTCCCCTCGCCATCTTGCCATATCCTGTCTTGCAGGGCAGAGGGTAAGTAAAAATAACTACTCCTACAATTTCTCATCTACCTGTAAATTAGAAACACTTCATGGCTTACATGTAGTTCAGTGATTCAGTACTGAACGTCAGGATCAGCTTGGCAACTAGAAGTAAAAAGACATTTTTGCTCTGTAAAGGATTTCTTTTACAAAGCTAAAGAAGCAGCCTTCCAAACGACTGGACCAAAATTACTTGTACACACTTCAGTTCAGTGCATTCTTGCTGAAAACTGGTAATCTTAGCTGTGCCCATGTGTTTGCAGTATTCTTGTACACCTATCATTGTGGTAACAGAAAAAACACACATCACAATTTTTGTGGCAGCTAACCGGCAGCAAAAAATTCAGCTACACATTTTCTGCAGCAAAAACATTGCTAAATGTTCCAAAAAGGCATTTTGTGAGGGATTTTTGCACTGTATGCAACTCCTCAGTAAGTGTTAGCCTTTATTTAATTTGCAGTTTAAACATTTTATGGTTATGAATGGGCTTGTATTCTAGTGTAGGGGCCCACACTGTTGTCAGATGGTGTGTTTACAAGTGACTTGATTACAAATCTGTAATTTTTATCTTTTCAGTCTTGATTATGATAATTTTTCTGCTTTGAAAAGGATTCTGGTGAGAACCAGATTAGCCTTAAAGGTCACAGAAGGGTAATTCTGTTTTTCTTTTTTTTTTCTTTTTTCCACATCACATCTCTTGCTTTATGGACATATGATTAAAAGATGCCAGTGTTAGAGTTGACATGCGAAATTCCAGCAGAGACAAATTTGCACACACACTTTGACACAAGGCAGCCTCTCACAGAAACCCTCAACCACCTCTCTCAGTGGTTTGTCAGCCTGTCCACACACGTGTAAAATATGTAGCATGGTTTGCCTAAAGGCTGACCGTGTTCCTATAGTACGTATTCTTCACTTTCTGTAAATAAACAATAACAGTGCTTGAACAGTTGGTTTATTTGGTTGTGCCAGCAAAAGATCAGGGAATGTGCAACATCCAGAGATGAAGAAATGAATAAGAAGACATGGTTTTAGCAGAAATTCATTCCGTGTGTGAAAAGTTGGAGACACTGGAATTGCAAAAATTTATTTTATTTTATTTATTTTTTTGACATTACCAGAATATATTGATAAAGTTTTGTGCACGTTTGTAAAGGAAATGCAGCTAGTGAAGAGAGAGAGAAAAAATCCATCTGAATTGACAACCTTTGGACTAAATCGCCTGCTTAAATTGTAGACTGAAGCCACAAAGTCATGATGAGGGTCTCAAATAATCAATGGGTCACAATTTGGACACCCCTGTCCCGATGGTTTGCAGGCAACAACACTAAAATTAAAATTGGTCTCAAAGCTTCTTGTTGATTCTAAATTGAAAAACTGTTTTAGTTTCACCAGTCTCAGCTACATTTGCTCGAAATGTAAAACATTTAGTCTTGTCAAATCTCATTTGAATAATTCTGGACCGATCCCAGATTTTTTATTTTTTTTTTTTAAACTCACTTTGAGATTTATAAAACCTTTCTTCAGTTGGTAAAAACCAAAAAAGACTTTTTGGCATAAAGATCACCATTCATAAGTCATGGGTTTTTCATGTAGTCATAAAAAACCTAAAGGTTTGTAGCAGCACAACTGGAATATCCAAACTTTTTTCTATTTGTTAAAACAAATAAAGGGAATTCCTAGACTTCCTGAAAATTCGAAAGATATTCTGAACCCAATAATGTGTAACATCTCAGCTGGATGCATCATTACTCCTTAATGCCCAATACTGATTTTGATACTGTTCTGCTTTTCAGATTTTCTTTTACTGACTTATACTGACTGGTCATTTGGCTGGTATGTCAAACAATTTCCATTATTAATGTTTTAAAAACATTTTTAAAACTGCTCATGCTGGATGGCAAGAGATGTAACATTCTTTTCATTTATCCTCTTCGTCGGCCTTAGCAACCCAGCCGAACACCCCACATAAATCATTCATAATCCAGTGACGTTCTGAACTTTGACCCCCCCCACCCCCACCCCACAGGATCCCCCAAACCATTTGGAGTCTCTGCACCTTTACATGCTGACCTCTTTCAAAATGTCAGTTTTTCTCCTAGACTGTGCTGCTTGTTTTACAGATCCCTCTCACTCTGCTGCGAGAGGTTAAGGTTACTAGTAATGGAGGTAAATCTTACAAACCTATGAATTTCTTTTGTCTCTTTTGCTTTTTTTTCCCCCGTCCCTTTTCTGTATTATTTAATCTCCCTCTGAAGTATGTTCTGTGGATTCTCTTCTCATTAAATGTCCATCATGTTCTCTTGCTGTTCTCTGAAGTATGTGTATTTAAAGCTCAACTTGTGTCTGTCCCAACTTTCTTGGAACTGTGTAAGACTTGTTTAAACAGCCTGCAGTTCCTAATGGCTGTTAAAATCTCACTTAATTATAGTTTTACCTGAGGGTGCAGTGTTTTGTAAAGAAAGGAGGGCTTAAAGTCTTCCAAGAATATCATCTGTTTATATGTAATTTGACTTACTCCTGCCTCAGTTGGCAAAATAAATCTCTAAAGATTCTAAGTTTTCTTTCAGGAGATATCCTGCCTTCTTTCTGTGTTTGGTTGATTAAAGCCATATGTTTTTAGTCAGGAAGTTATTTTTGGCCTGGTGAAATAAATGACAGACTGAACTTTGTGACTCACCACACTTTGCCAAGACATTTATTCTGCTCTTTCTTTTTTGACCTTCTCTCTAAAGTATATTACATGTAAAATTATCTCCTGATGCGTTTGCTAATTTACATGAAAGCCAACGTTGTTGGATAATTTGTTCTCTTTTACCAAAGCCAGTTTTGTCCACCTCTTTTTGTTTTGTCCACCATTGCAGGATGCAGGATATGTGTCCATGTTAATCAGTCAATTGCTAATCAGAAAGGTGTTTTGTCTGTCCGTCTCCCCAGGTTACGGCACCAAGCACACAAAGAGCTATATGCATACAAACAAGTAAGATAACGCTTGCAAACACACTCACACAGTTCCTATTTGAAGGTTGCACGCATTTGTCATTGACTTGAATATAATTTTTTTAATAAACATTAATGTTACATCTAATCTTTTTTTTTTTTTTTTTTTGCAGTGTGGAAAGGTTATACATCATACTACTGCATTCACTTTAAAACCAAGAACTGGGTGCAATGGTTTGGTCTACTGGTTTTCTCTTATCATCACAGGGTCAAATATATACATACACCCTACTGAGGTTTGAATTGATATTTCTTAGCTGGTTCCAAATCAAAACCCATCAGCTATCTTCTGGTATAATTACGAATGAAGATAGACGCTGTTCTTAAAAGAGGAAATGAAAACCCATTTAATTTGGTTGGATGCTTGGCATGGAATTTTCTAAATACCTGTTCAGGTGTGCCAGAGTTCACTTGCTTCTCCCAACTGGTGTTTTTTTCTGAGCTTTCACTCCTGCCCCCCAAAAAAGGCTCTATATTCATGGGTTCATTTGGTTCATTTAAAACATACGATACAACTCTAGTGTAAAGCCTCCTAAGATGTTTATTGAGTTTTGGGCATCAAGGACAGTAAAAATCGATCCAACTGGGCAAATGTATTGTAGGAATGGAGAGTCTGAGAGAACGGCACCTAAATATAATAGCCCATGAATTATTGCATCCACACAGTTTTTGCAACTGCAATTTTGCACTTATTGATATTGAGATGTTGAATTAGGGCTGAGGTTTTGGCTATTCCAGCAGCTTAATGTTGACATGCTTCATCTATTTCAAAACTGATTATTATTATTATTATTATTATTATTATTATTGTTTTTCTGGCAAGTACATATTTTATGTTCAGTCAGATGATCTGTACCAGTTCTGTGTGGAAGAGTTGTCAAATATCCAGGCAGAATTATGGCAGAATCTCATTGATGGATTCAAAACACAACATTGACAGAAAGTCACTCATGGAGGTTTGACCAAATATTAGTGAGGGAGTATCTATATATCTGAACCTGTACATTCAATTTTGATCATGTGTGGATTGGAGAAAATATGCAGTAATCTTGAATTTGTGCACCAAGTTCTTGTTTCTTCTGATTATTATTTTTTAAAACACAGTTGTCTGTCTTTCACCCACTCAAAAATACAGCAGAAAATTGATCTGATATTCACGTTGATGATGAGTATGCAGAAATGTATAGTGATATATTTCATTGTGCATTATGTATCAAATATATTGTACTGGGGTAGTGGAATGCATAAATTGTATGAAATTGTACAGAAAAAAAAGTCCTAAACCCCCTTATCTTTGAAGCATACAATTTCTGTTGTACGATTTAGATTGACAGCTGTTGGTATTTCAAGACTATTGTTGCTTTTTTTTTTTTTAAGTACAACGTAATTCTCTGTGCACTCACAGAACTTTTTAAATGCCAGGCTATGCTGCAAGAAATGTGTCCATTAGTGGAGAAGAGTGTGCGCAACATGCAGCCTGCAAAGCTAGTCCAACAAGAGAGACAGACAGGCACGCCAGTTTTACTCACTGTGCTGCTAGATGGTTAAAGAACCTGATATTGATTTAAAACAAGTGCAGAAGCACATGCAAGACCACCTCCTAGCAGAGAAGAAGTCTTTGTCTCTGTAATTGGTCTCTCGACTTGTAACCTCAAAACACCACAACATTGTGCTCCTCTGTCGGCTGTGGAACAGCATCAAGCTCAGAGTTTGCAAACACACTTCTACACATGGATGTTTTATTTGAAAACTAGCAGCTGATTTGAACTTATTCTGTCAAAGCTGTTTTATTCAATGTCTAAAATAATGACTAATACAATAGAATTGTTTGCTTTAACTGTATTAAAAAGCATGCTTCTCATCATATTTTGGTTTCCCTTTCAGGTCATTCAGAAGGAAAAAGTCAAAGAGCTAAACTTGCATGAGGTAAACCTTTTAGATTTTTCAATATGAAAATTGTCTGCTCTTTTTTTGTAGTTGTTGGAATATTCTGAATTTAACTTAATCGGTTTTTAGATCAGAAAATAGGAAGTTGAACAACAGTGGAGCGAACATGTGTTCACTTAGTGTTGTGTCTAAGTGGAAGCCAATGACAGGCTGTGTTGTGCAAAAGCTCCTGAACCTGACTTATGAAAATATTTCTGTCTTTTAACGGTTTCCACATCATGGAAAAGTGCTTTTAACAAGGTTTGGTTTGAAAACATGGATGTTATTAGAACCTTAACGGAAGTGAAGCTTACTGTATACCATGTGAATGTTTTGAAGTAAGACAACCTAGGTATAAAAACAATGAAATCACATGCAGTCAAATAAAACATCAGCCTAAGTTGACGAAAGCTAGACTTGTTTAAATTCTTAAGTTAAATATAGTGTATGACATGGTTGAGGAAACTAACTTTTTGTAAGTCCTGCTCTTAAATTTAAATGAAAATCTTTAAAAGGGGCTTCAAAAAAAAAACAAAACCTCAAACCCATAAATCCCAATAAAATGTGATAAAACTCAGCTATGCTTTTTGGGGAATCATTTTGCTCAGTTTTGTTATAAATTTGTTTATTCAGACAGCAGTAAAGACCGGGACATTCATTGCTTTCTTCATGATGCGCTCACATGACTCATTGCCATGTGATAACTACCATATCCTGTTTAACTCATCAGTCTCTGTTGTGGCGTTATTGCATAATATTAACCTCCCCTAAGCTTAGTTGGAAAACTACTAGAACGCAGCAGAACCAGGTTTGAATTAGAGTGAACTCCAGTCAAGAGCCCCAACCCTTTAGCACCGGGAATCTCATCTTCACACCAACTCCGGCACAGTTTGTTGCCACCCCCCTCTTGGCCCCTCAGGGCATATGAGTGTTTTTTTTTTTTTTTTTAAGAAAGAAAGTGTAATGTGATTCAAGACTGAAACAAAATAAAGAAGTCAAGGACAATAATGCACACTCAACTCAGACTGGATGACCCACTTTTGAATGTAAAGGATTATCCTGGAGGCATGAGTGAGGCTAGGTTGAATTTCAACATTTTAATGGAAAGTACAGAAAAGAAGCTTTGTTTGGGATTGGTTTACAGGTCAAGGCATGCCGGAGAACGTCTGATGTGTAACCTAATCAGATCTTCTAGAAGAGTCTCTTCGCAGTTTGTTTGAAATTAACCAACCTTCTTGGCACACATAAAAATGTGTTATGTAAACAGTGAACTTCATGCAATATATTTCAAAATATTTTTGCATTAAAGTGATCAAGGTAATTTTTTTAGACCTTTTAAATCTAAAGCAAATACTGATTGTATTTATGACATCTGGTGTTAAAAATGCCAGTAATTTGACTTTTGGTTTACTTTGATAAAATGGTGAAAACTATGCCTTGAATATTTTGGGATGCCAAGTATTATATCTCAGACTGAAGCCTGTACAAAACTTTAATGTAAATAACTAAGTTGTTTTAAAGTACAGAAATACAGTTATTAGAACATTCATATACGCATAGGACAAATATTTTTGCATAATAAGTGAAAAGAAAGTCTGTACATACCTCGTTTTGCTGTTTCCAACGGTTTTAAGTCACAAATTGAGTAAAATGTTTGTAAAATTTCCATTTTAGCATTCACTTCTGTGACATTTTGGGAAAGTTTGAATTGAAGCTTACAGGACTATTGGTAAAAGGGATTTGTTTTTCCCTGTCAATCTCAACTGTGAGTGTGAAATCTCAGGCAAGGTGTTCAAGAAAAGGAAGAACATTGATCTGTTCTCCAATGCAGAGAGCAAAGCAGACATCCAAACAAATAGCTGCTCTGTGTCCAAAACTGGTCAGAAGAAAAAGCTTCGGGCCCCCATACAGTTCTTTTCAGCCACAGCTGTCCATCCACCCATAAATCTGGGTGGCTAAAGGAGTCATTGTTGCAGCTGAAAACCTTCTACCATAAAAGAGCTGTCCACTAGGTGAATGAAGTTTTGTGAGTGCGGGTAGACGAACCGTTTCGATGCTCATGCTTTTGTAATTTGAAGTTTCTGTCAGCCGCTGAATTGGTTGTTGTTAACTCTTGGAGCAGCTCGGTGTGGGCACAGTGTGGCTTGTCATCTCAGGTCACTGACCAGACATTAACTGCACACTTCGTCCATAACAAGTCTTTTGTGAGATCGGTACCAGGAATGTTTGCAGCTTCATGCGGCACCATTTCAAAGTGATTCAACTAATGCAGTTGGCAACATGCAGAGTTCCCACGCAATCTCCAAAAGTCTTGAGGAATCGGAAGCTAGCTATTTTCAAGGTCAGAAAATATTTCCCATTGCTTATTCTGTATCCCTTCCTCCGAATATATCCATCCCTTTATCCATTCATCATCCATCCATCCAGAATCGGAGGTTCTGTCCACCCATCATGATAATCTGTAAAGACTGAACTCTGCAGAAATCTCCACCATAAATGATTGTTTTTGTATTCATGTATTAACAAAGTGCAGAAAATGACAAATTGGAATTTGTCGTGTCACCTTTACACAGAAGGTAAAATAGTAATTTGTTAATCTGTGGTTTGATAGTTTACCTGTTCTTGACTAATTAATGTGCTTGTCTGTATTTGGCAAGAAAGAAATAGACTGACGCACAGTCCAACAGTGATGCTTGACGGTACTTTTACAAATCAAATCTAATTTAGCCTTCAGGTAAAAATAGACTTTTAGTTTTTGAGCTCATCCATATTTAATTCTCTTCTCTTTAGCTGTCTGTTTTGGTCCTGCCTTAATTTGAGAAGAATCTGTTTTCATCTGGGGAACAGTTGTAAATATTTGATCTCAGCAAGCGTGACCCTAGATGTGCGGCCACCGCTGTGATCATGGGCCTCACGCCGTCATGGGTGGTCCCCGGCTGTTAATCTAATTAGGAAAGCACGTGGAGGCCTGTGAACCGTGGCGCTGTTAACCAAGATGGCTTTAAAGCATGAACATGAATAATGCTTCTCTGCTAAACTACCATTAAATTTGCTAATCTTGGGCTGGGTGAATGGATGAGAGTTAGGATGAAGTTCTCTGAATAAATGAATCTTAAACATTTTGTAAGTTTAAGGCTTAAGAGCTTTTTGATGTCAGCCCTCTGAAATATTGATGAAATATCTTTTATTCTCTGCCCCCTTACAGATATATTCAGTTTTTGCTACTTGTTCACACTCGTTCAGATCATCCAATATGTTAGCATCAGTCAAAGACAATATGAGTAACCAAAATTGCAATTTTCAAATGATGATTTAATTTATTAAAGGGAGAGGCTATAAAAATCATCCTGCCTTATGGGAAAAAAGTATTTGTCCCCTAAACCTTACAACTATTGGTGTCGCCCTTGGTAGCACCAAATGCTGATACATATCCGTCATTTTTTGCAGCCATTCAGGGGTGAAGTTGCCAGTGAGCTGCAGATCATTGTTCTGTTGATAAAACCAAAGTGTGAATGAGCTAAAAGTGGCAGAGTGATGGCCAGACATTTTGCTTCTGGACTTCCTGGGAGAGAGACTTGAAGCAACAAAGTCGTCCCGGATCATCAGAGGCATGATGTTCCTCTGAAACCCTGTTCATTCTTAGCAAAGATAGGACACATCTTCCAGGAAAACCTTTGCAGGAGCTTTCATGGGGCTCATCCATACTTTCTGGCAACACGAGGCGCTGCTTTGTGTTGCTTTTGGTGAGCAGTGCTTTTTACTGCTGCTTGTTGTTTTTTCCATTGACTGTGATTTGACCACGTCTCGGTATAGCTTGTGAAACCGAACTATAAAACATACTTTATCAGAGTTAACTCATAATTTAACTGTGAGGCCAAATATTGCTTCTTTGCCTTTTTTCCCCTCTTTAAGACAAATTGAAAATTGATAACTTCACCTCAAATGACTGATTATTGAACAAATAGTCCTAGTCTGAACACTGGGTACGGCTCCTTTTCAGTGAGTTATAGTAAACTGACTGACTGAAACAGCAAAACAATAAGTTACTAGGTCTACTGCTAGTTATACGAGTCTGGTGCAGAGCTGTGTTCCTGCCAAAGAGAACAGATGAAAACTGCTTTTCATTAAATTTTTTTAAACACTATGAAAGGAATGTTTTCTTCAGGAAAAAATGCATTTGAATCAGTGGATTGGCCTGTCCATCTGGAATCCGTCATTGACAACATTCAGAGAATCACATTGCAATGTTTGTTTGAAAAGCTTTCCCAGTGACGACGTTTGCCTTCCCGTTAAATCAGAAAAAGGCCACAGGTAGTCAAGACTTGTATAACCGGACATAGTTGGTCAGTTACTCTTCGGTTTTTCCATGTCCTTTTATTGTCTTTTTGTGTGGATTTTGGCCACAGCTGTGTTTTTCTTTGTGAGCCAGACATTCATGGCTCGCCTGAGCGGTTTGTTTGCAGTCCACCGACACAAAACTGAGATTAGTGCGGAGAGAACCAAAGTGAACTGAATTATCAACACATTTCCAGCTCCTGCACACTTTATACAGAAGTGGTAGCTGAAGCTCTGGCCTTCTCTTGCAGATATGTGCGGTGTGCTTGGAGGAGTTCAAGCAGAAAGATGAGCTGGGGATCTGTCCATGCAAACACGCCTTTCATCGGAAGTAAGTAAAGGCTTTCGTCTGGGAGTTTGCCATCAACTAAAGTATACATGACGTTTTTTTCCAAGAAGGCAATTTTTATAAGTCCTATCATCACCAATTACAGTGATGGGTGACATTAAGAAAAAGTGTGAAATTTAACATTCAACAGTAGATGAATATAAAACTAAAGACGTTCGGAGTGGAAGACACAGATCGTAATGGATTAGATGAGCTAACTTCATCCCACATCTCACCTCGTGTCCCAAACGTTTCAACCGAGTTGTTTACTTTAGTCGAGTCCTTTGACCTAGTTTTCCCCCAGTGGCTGAAAGAATTCAAACCAGAGGCGGTTTTTAATGTGTTTACAAGTAAAACCATGCAGTTTTATTCAGAGAGCCTTTAAATCCAACCATTATTTGGTTGATCTTTAAGTGGGTAAAAAAAAAAAGCAATAAGCCATACAGTATCTATAACTGACTGACAAATTCAAGACATTTGGAAAGTTTACTAAGTTCTCAATTTGACTCTCACTTGGGGTGGAAAGTGAGAGTCAAATCACTTTCCACAGTGATTTGAAATCACGGTTTCAGTTGTTAAGAGAAAAAAAAATCCACCTGGTTAAATATAACTAGACATAACCAAGCCAGATCACTGCCAAAGCAGTAGAATCAATCACTTAACTAGAAAATTAACAATAATATGAAAATGTTTAAAAAGCAAAGCATTGGTAAAATTGATGCTTGGTGCCACAAGGCATTCAGATTCACACAGGGTTGGATTGGATCATTTGTCTTTCAATAACAAAATCAGCCTTTGGAAGTTTCGTTTTAAATTTATTCACATTACCCTCATGTGGTAAAAATAACTAAAAGGAAGAGTAAAAACGTTTTAAAAGCTTCAGAAGCCTTAAAGTATCTTTTTAACTCATTTGGTTTCCACAGATCAGAATTGCCACCTGCACATTTTCTTGCTCTCCTCATTTATGAAACTGCTTTACATTAGTCAAATCATGGCAGTAGAAGCTTGCTGACGGACACACCTCACTTCTGCTCACTGTAATGGCCTCCCAGAGAAGCCATCAAGGGTCAAACTAACACTTTGATGCTTATGATACGAGTTTTCTTTGCAGTGTTCAGAAGTCATACATTCTGGACTCTTTCACATTTCATATTTTTAATGCTCTTTAAATGATTCAGCTGTCATAATATGTTCCATGTGATTAGATGTCCTTTTTTTTATTTCCTCCTGATGTCTTGACCAGCTGACTCCGTTTCATTGTGGGATTTTCTGTGAGGTCTTGTTTTTATTTTAACACAGCACATACTCACGTGGCCAGAGGAGGACATCTTTGTGACCTCTGGATTGTTTGCGTATATTTTACAATCTGAATAGACAGTGATGCCTGATAGAGTCCCATCAGAATGAAGCAGGGCATCCCAAGGATATGATATGGATATGAATGGGATTTCTGACTGATGGGCTGTTACAGCTGACAGCTCATTTATCGCTGCCCTGGGTGGCACCAAGATTTTCAAGTTTTGTTTTACAGATAAATTAAGTTAAAAGGGATTTCTCAAACAGGATTTTTACCCCCAATTCCAGTTTATTTACATTATTATGTCTTATTTTCTAACTCTACTCCTGCCTCATTCGATTATCTTTCTTAGCTTGAAACAGAAATGTTTTCATTTCTTCCTATTCTTTTCTTTTTCTGCTTATTTATTTAGTCTTCAGTTTCTAGCATTAGTTTTTCTCTCTCAAGATTTCCAAACTATATAAAATGATTTTTTCAGTGTTAAAGATTTCCTTTCTTTTTTTTTTTTTTTTTTTTTTTTTTTTTTTTTTTTTTTTTTTTTTTTTTTTTTTTTTTTTTTTAAAGAGTTTTTTTTGCCATAAAG